AAGCTGTGGCTGCCCCATCCCTGGCAGTGCTCAAGGCCAGGTTGGACACAGGGGCTTGGAGCAAGCTGCTCCAGTGGAAGGGGTCCCTGTCCATGGCAGGGGTTGGAACTGGAAGAGCTTTAAGGTCCCTTCCAACCCAACCCATTCCATGACTCTATGATCCTCCAGACTGAATGGGGCAGCTGCAGAGACCAGACATAATCCTGAGGGGTTTGGGGGTGCTTCCCATGGTTCCCATGCCCCAGAGCTCGTATTTCCAGACTCCATTCCCATTCCTGGTGCAAGGCGCAGGGAATGCCGCTGGCCTGGCCCCGCACCAGCTCATCCCTGTGCCCTGCAGGGCTGCTGCCGGCCCGCAGCAGCGTCCTGGAGCTGGAGCAGATGATCAGGGCGGCCACGGGGAGAAGCGCGCTGCTCTCCTACAGCTGGTACGGGTGCTTCTGCGGCATCGGCGGCAGAGGGACCCCGGTGGACTCCACTGACCAGTGAGTATCCGGATAACCCGGGGCAGGGGGCCCCCAAACCTCCCTGGGCACCGCTGTGCTCTGCAGAGGGGGTTTGCACTGCTCCCAAGCCACATCTTGTGGCTGTCTTGGCCATCCCCTCCTTCCAATCACCTTAAATGTGGGGCTGGGCCCTCCCTCCCTCACCTTTGAGGTGTCCCCCATAGGTGCTGCCATGCCCACGACTGCTGCTACAGGAAGCTGAGAGAGGGCACATGCACCCCTCTGGTCACCCCCTACCAGTTCAGTGTTGCTGATGGAGACATCGTCTGCGGTGAGTGCCACAGAGCAGGGGGGGGGGGGGTCCCACGGAGTCCCCACAGCACCCCAGGTACACAGGAGGACGTCCCCCCCCGGGGTGGATCCAGCCTGGTGCCCTGTTGGGTGCGTGCAGGATGCGGCACATGATGAACAGCCGGGGATGAGCACAAGGGATGCAGGCGGCTTGGGGAGGGCGAGCACTGGGCACGATGCTGCGTGCTCTTCCCAGGGGCAGCTCCAGGCATCAGGGGTGCCCGGAGGGGCCCCATCGCTGCTGCTGCTGAGCAGAAAAGCCATTGTAGAGCAGTGTTTTCCCCCCGCAGGTGAGGAGCAGAGCTGGTGCAAGAGAGAGACGTGCCTGTGCGACCAGGCGGTGGCTTCGTGCTTCGCAAGCACTTTGCCTTCCTACAACAAATCCTACCTCTTCTATTTCAAGCTGAAATGCCGAGGGAGCAAACTCCAGTGCTGAGCAGGGGGGGTCTGCAAGCGGGGCTGCAGGGGTTCACTGGCTTTCCCTATGGCTACGGCAAGAAAAGCCTGATGTGGGGGCTGAACACGGCCAGAGCCCCTGCAGTGATGCTGAGGGTGAGGAAGGGCACTCACACGTTACGGATGGAGATCCCCCTTCCCAAAAGGACACCTCAGCTTCCATCCGTTTGTCCCTTCCTCCTCCCTTTCCTCTCTTGATTCCGTTTCCCAGCAAAGGTAATAAAAGGTGTTTAAAGTGATCCTCTGTGATGGTTTTCCATGAGAGCCACTGAGGCACTGCACTGGTGGCAACCGAGCTCCTGAGTTGGGGGGCACTTTGCATCGCACCCCGTAGCCACACCAGAGCCTGACCCCGACATTCGCATGGTCCCAGCAGCAGCAGTGCCTGTAATGCACAGGGCTTGGCAACAGCAATGGTCCCCCAGTGCTGAGCCCTGCTCCCAGTGGGGATTTTCAGCTGAGCTCATCCCAGAGCAAAACCAAAGCAGTGCTTTAAGGGGCAGGTGGGATACTGCCAAAAGGTGTTTTTATGGGAATAATGGTGGTGGGAAATGTGGGAGGTGATTTGGGATCTTCCTGTGACGCTGATGTACAAATATGGCCAACGTGAAGGCTGAAGAGCACAAGGAGGGGGGAAGATGTCAAAGCCCCGTCCACCCCAGTGTGGACTGAATGGTTTCTCCATGGGGAATGAGCTCTGCACAGGGGCTGCAATGGGGAGGTGTAAAAGCAGGAAGAGAAACAGAGGGAAGCTGCATTCACTCATCATTAAATATAGGTTCTGATCCATTCCCCTCACACTGGGGGTGAGCATTTACTCACCCAGAGGCTGCATAACCCGTGCTCCTGGGACAGGCACATGTAGTGATGCGTTCACTGCAGCCCATGCACCTTCCCACCCTGATACAGCACCGGGGGGTTGGGAAGGGCAGAGAAAAGGCCCTGGGGCACCCCTGGCCTGGGACACAGAGCGTTGGCTTCCTCCTTGAGCTGGAAATGCTGCTCTGAGAGCTCAGCCTGCCCATTCCCAGCCCTGTGAGCACAGGCAGGGCGCTGAGGGGAGCCCCTGCGGTCCTGTAAAGGGGAAGGACGGTGCCTTCTCATTTACAGAAGAGCCCAGTCGGCAAGACTTGGGTACAACAAGCACCTGGCAGCAGGGAGTGAACTATATAAAGCACATCCAGGCAGCTGCAGGGCCCCGGGAGCGAGTGGCGGCTTCGGGAGGTAAGCAGGGATGTGGGAACGCTGCTCCTCCCTTCCCTACTTCAACCAGTGCAAGCGGGAAGCAGGAGCAGGGAAGCCTCCTGAGCCACCAGCCCAGAGGCAGAGCAGTGGGCTCAGCCCTCCAGGGTTTCCAACCTTTTCCATCATTCCTCCGACCTTTCCTCCTATCCCTTCGGTTTGCTTTCTCCACTCCTCCACCAGCCAATTCCCATCGCTTCCCATCCCCAGCACAGCCTCACCCTCTCGCTCCCCGAGGTGGGAGCATCTCTGCCCCCGGTGAGGGGAAGTACAAAGGGAGGTGGTTGATGGAACAGGGGAATGGTTTGGTTTCCTCTCTCAGGGCTGTCAGGAAGATGAACCTGGCCTTCACTGTGCTGGTTGCATGGGGTAAGTGTCCTCCCTCACACCACGGTTCTCCTTGTGGTGTAGTCATGGAAATTAGGACCAGGCTGGTCATTTCCTGACCCTTTCCCACCACCAAACATACAACAACTCTCCTGCACTGAGTACTCTGCTCCATGCACCAGTCGTAAAGACATCACCAGCCCGGTACCCATCTGGGAGCTGGAGGGGTGGAGATGCTGTTGTGGGGCTGGACGTCAGCGTGAACCCCACCTATTCCCTCCTCCCCAGCCTTGTCCCCAGCCCATGGGAGCCTCTGGGATCTGCACAGGATGGTCACCAAGGCGACGGGGAAAAACACCTTGCTGCATTACTCCTTCTACGGCTGCTACTGCGGCTTTGGGGGCAAGGGGCAGCCCAAGGATGCCACAGACAGGTAAGAGCGGCTTCAACACCCCCCTGCCTGAGCATGGCTTTAAATGTGGGGGGCAAAGGGAGCAAAGCCAGGCCCCAAAGCCTCAAGGTCCCGCATAGGTGCTGCCAGCTGCACGATGCCTGCTACGACAGCCTCCTGAGCCACCAGTGCAACGCCAAAGCCCAGAGCTACCTCTACGACTGGGCCGGCAGCAGCCCCTCCTGCAGTGAGTGGGGTCCTGGCAAAGGGGGTGCCCCCCACCCCGGGCTGGGGGTGACCCAGGGGTCCCCTCTGCCTGCAGGAAGGGGCTCGTGGTGCTCCCAGCTCTCCTGCGAGTGCGACCGCAGCCTGGCCCTTTGCCTGAAGAGAAGCATCGGGAGCTACAGGAGGAGCCACCGATTCTACCCCAGGCACCGGTGCTGATGATGGGAGCTGGGACATGGGGCTGGCTTCTGCATCCACACATCCCCACATCCCTGCTGGTGATGGGAGCTGGGGTATGGGGCTGGCTTCTGCATCCACACATCCCCACATCCCTGCTGGTGATGGGAGCTGGGACATGGGGCTGGCTTCTGAACCCACACATCCCTGCTGGTGATGGGAGCTGGGACATGGGGCTGGCTTCTGCACCCACACATCCCCACATCCCTGCTGGTGATGGGAGCTGGGACATGGGGCTGGCTTCTGCACCCACACATCCCCACATCCCTGCTGGTGATGGGAGCTGGGACATGGGGCTGGCTTCTGCACCCACACATCCCCACATCCCTGCTGGTGATGGGAGCTGGGACATGGGGCTGGCTTCTGCACCCACACATCCCCACATCCCTGCTGGTGATGGGAGCTGGGACATGGGGCTGGCTTCTGCACCCACACATCCCCACATCCCTGCTGGTGATGGGAGCTGGGACATGGGGCTGGCTTCTGCACCCACACATCCCCACATCCCTGCTGGTGATGGGAGCTGGGACATGGGGCTGGCTTCTGCACCCACACATCCCTGCTGGTGATGGGAGCTGGGACATGGGGCCGGCTTCTGCATCCACACATCCCCACATCCCTGCTGGTGATGGGAGCTGGGACATGGGGCTGGCTTCTGCATCCACACATCCCCACATCCCTGCTGGTGATGGGAGCTGGGACATGGGGCTGGCTTCTGCATCCACACATCCCCACATCCCTGCTGATGATGGGAGCTGGGGCATGGGGCTGGCTTCTGAACCCACACATCTGTGCTGGTGATGGGAGCTGAGACATGGGGCCAGCTTCTGCACCTACACATCCCCACATCCCTGCTGGTGATGGGAGCTGGGACATGGGGCCGGCTTCTGCACCCCCACATCCCCACATCCCTGCTGGTGATGGGAGCTGGGACATGGGGCTGGCTTCTGCATCCACAGATCCCCACATCCCTGCTGGTGATGGGAGCTGGGACGTGGGGCCAGCTTCTGCATCCACACATCCCCACATCCCTGCTGGTGATGGGAGCTGGGACATGGGGCCGGCTTCTGCACCCACACATCCCCACATCCCTGCTGGTGATGGGAGCTGGGACATGGGGCCAGCTTCTGCATCCCCACCTCCCTCCGTCCCTGCCTGTGTGAACCACGTCAGTGCTGCTGTGAGTTCACTCAGCGAAAATAAACAACGTGCTCAAACCACCCCTCTGCGGGCAGCACAGAAATCCCCTCTGCGAAAGCCCCGCATCCTCCCCAGGCCATGCAGCAGCTCCGTCCCGGCCCCTGCGTCACGGGGCTGCAGCCCACGGGGCCGGAGGGGCTTGGCCAGCGAGGGAAGGGGCGTAGCAGAAAGCAGCTTTGGGACAGAGAAGTGATTTCAGCGCTTCCAGTTGGGAGCCGCGGGCCGGACGCGGAGGGGCTGCTCCCCAGGACAGCGAGGAAGGGGAGACGGAGCCATCCCCCGGTGAGCAACTCCCCCCGTGGGGCGGGCTCATGGCTGCTGCAGCGCAAAGCCACAGGGGGGATGCTGCAGAGCTGCTTCTGCTGCTTGCCAGTGCTCTCAGAGAGAACCTCGGGCCCAGGGGGTAGCGGCACTGCCCCTGCAGAGTGCTGCCCTGGGTGCTGGAAGCAGTGGGATGGGAGGCAGGAGGTGCTCGGGTGCTGGGGCAGCTTCCCAAAGTGTTTGCTGCTGGCCAAGGGGAGCAGCAGCGGCACAGATGCCAGAGGGCACGGCTCCCTTCCCCACCGCTGATTTTGGGGTGATCAGACCTGACTTCAGCAGCAAGGTTTCAATGGCAGTGCCTGTCACCCTGCCCTGCTGAGCCTGTCCTGTTTCTCCCCCCAGGCCTGGGTGAGAGGAAGATGAAGGTCCTGCTGATGGCGGCAGTGCTGTTTGCCTGCAGTAAGTGCAGCCATCCCTGGCCCACAGCTGGCAGCCAGGCTGCAGCCCTGTGCTGATGCACGGAGCATCCCCAGACCCCTGTGTGCTCCACGGGGACACCGTCCCCATCATTCCCCAGGCCTTGTTTCTGCACATAACTGTAAAAATCACACTTTCTGGTCCCCTTAGGTGTGTTCACAGCTCATGGGAAGCTCCCGCACGCCTTTGCACCAGGACTCGAGGGGAGCACCGTAGGAAATGTGACCCATGGCTGCCCCTCGGGATGGGGCACGTCGAGGGCTTCAATGGACCGGTACAGACAGTGCTGCCTCTGAGGGCTAACGCTGGCCCCAGGGTAACCCCAGGGGTCATGAGCAACCTCTAAAGCCTTGCATAAAGCAGACCAGGCGATGGGCAGCTGCAGGAGGGGAACAGGCTTTAGGGAAGGCGCCTTCAACCCTAATCCCAGCCCTGCAGTCAGTGGGGCTGTGCCGGCAGCAGCTGCCTGAAGTCAGCGGGATGGCTCCAGAGGAGGATGGTCCTGAGGCCAGGATGGTCCCAGAGCTGGGCAGAGGGAGCACGGGGCAGTAGAGAAGAGGCTCTGTGTAAGGGCGGGCTGGCACGGGCAGCTTCTGCGTGGGTCAGAGCAGGAGGATGCCGAGCTCGCCGGGCCCGTTCCAGGCGGGTCCGCAGCCGCTGGTGCCGCGGCTCGGGTGAGCCCAGGCTCTCTTCTCGCCGCAGGTGCTGCCGGCTCCGTGCCTGCTGCTACGCCAGGCTGGCGGCACGGCGCTGCCGCGTGGGACCAGCGCAGCCCTTCCCTGGGCCCCAGGCAGGAGGGCGCCCCTGCAGTGAGTCCCCGATGGGCCCCAGGATTCCTCTCTCCGTCCCATTTCCCTTTCCCATTTCCCTTTCCCATTTCCCCTTCCCATTTCCCTTTCCCATTTCCTTTTCCCTTTCCCATTTCCCTTTCCCATTTCCCCTTCCCATTTCTCTTTCCCATTCCCCTTTCCCAGCGCCCTTTCCCATTTCTTTTTCCCATTTCCCTTTCCCATTTCCCTTTCCCAGCACCCTTTCCCAGTGCCCTTTCCCATTTCCCTTTCCCAGCTCCCTTTCCCATTTCCCTTTCCCAGCGCCCTTTCCCAGCTCACTTTCCCATTTCCCTTTCCCAGTGCCCTTTCCCATTTCTTTTTCCCATTCCCCTTTTCCAGCTTGCTTTCCCACTTCCCTTTCCTATTTCCCTTTCCCATTTCCCTTTCCCAGCGCCCTTTTCCTTTCCCAGCTCACTTTCCCAGTTCCCTTTCCCAGCTCCCTTTCCCATTTCCCTTTCCCAGTTCCCTTTCCCAGTTCCCTTTCCCAGCTCCCTTTCCCATTTCCCTTTCCCAGCGCCCTTTCCCAGCACCCTTTCCCATTTCCCTTTTCCAGCTTGCTTTCCCATTTCCCTTTCCTATTTCCCTTTCCCATTTCCCTTTCCCAGCGCCCTTTCCCTTTCCCATTTCCTTTTCCCATTTCCCTTTCCCGGGCAGCACTAGCGGAGCTGCCCTAAGGGGAGGGCTCAGCTGCGCTTCCCTCCGGTGTCCGCAGGCTCCGGGACCTGGTGCCAAAGGGGCGCCTGCCGGTGCGAGCGGGCAGCCCTGCTCTGCCGCATCCGCAGCCGGGGGCAGCTCCGGCGCCGCAGCAAGTGCCGGGGCCGAGGCCGAGGCGGGCGGTGCTGAAGCCAAAGGGCTCCGTGCATTGAACCGCATCCGGGCTGATGAGCGAAGGGACGGGGCCAGCAGCGAATCCCAGCCCCGCCGCGTCTCCTCCGTGGGGCTTTCTGGCTCCGACACGAGTACAGCCGCCCTCTGGTGCAGCTGTGCCAACGCGCACCGGGGCCGAGGAGGGAGAGAGCTCAGGGGGAGCCCTCAGCACAGAGGAACAAGGGACCGGTGGGCACCCGCTCCCCGTCGCTTCAAGGGCGAGATGGAGCCAGCGCGCGTCCCCCCTCGGCTCCTGGGCAGCCCCTCCGCTCCCTCCGCTTTTATCAGCGCGTTCCCTTCTGCTGCTCCCAAATAAAACCAGAGAGCGCAAAGGTTCGGTCCTCAGCGAGCCGTGACCGGTGCCGGCAGCGCCCACCGCCCGCAGGCAGCAGATAACGCCTCGGCTGGGTTTCCCGATGGAAAACCAGTGCAAAGGACACCTGGGAGGTGCTGGGTCTGCCCCTGGCCTGCATCCGCACATCCCCGCTCATCCCCGAGCCTTCGGGCTCTGAAACGCGCGGATGTTCCGAGATGGAGCAATCCAAGCTGATGCAAAGGGCAGCGTGATGCTGGGGAGGGCCGGGCGCTGGCAACCTCTGCTGCAGTGGGGTGGTCAGGAGCTCGCCTCGCAGCAAAACACATTTCTCACTGGAAAGGAATGCTCTGGCCCGGTTCTGCAGCAGCCCCGAGCACAGGCGGCTCAGGCACCGGCTGCTTCCCCCCTCACCACAGCAGCATCCCCATAAAGCGGGGTTTCTGCCCCACTGCGAGGTCCTGGTTCCGTGACCCCTGTGGGGCTCAGCAATGGGGAGCCACAGGAACAGGGGGCAAACGTGGCCTCGGCAGCTGCCGTTCCCACCCCGGCTCATGTCAAAGCTGAACTCGGTGGCACCAGGAAATCTCCCTGGAATCAGCAACGGTTCCTTCTGGCTGGAGGCCAGCACCGAGCTCTGCCAGCTATGCTCATCCTCAGGGGGACAAGGGAGGAGAGGGCAGCCCCTTCGCCCCGCAGCTGCTGTCCGCTGGCACAGATAAAGGATCACATCCTTGCCCAGATGGGAGCAGGACGGTCACAGAGATGGGCTGCGGGTCAGGGTGAGCTGGAACTCGCTCTCCCTGCTGAAATCCAGGGTGAATTTTAACGATTTATGTACTTTTCTGCCTGGAGAAAAGGCAGAGAAGGGGTGCAAAAGGCTCCCGACGGAGGGGAGAGAGATTCTGCTGGGGCCCTGACCCAAGTTCCTTCTTCCCATCATGGTTTCACACAAGTCACATCCTTGTTTCCTGTCTCAGTTTCCCCATCACTGACAGGGGATTTCCTCGCCCTGGCTGGCGCTGGGGCTCCTCGCAGAGCACTGTGCACCTGCAAGCTCTGCCAGAAGGGAACTGCTAAATGGCCACTCAGCATCACCTCTTGCATTAGAGATTGTCTGCCAGTGACAGCCGTCCTCCCCGTCACCCTTCCCATGTACACCCCCGGTATTGTTTGCTCTTACCCTGCTGCTTGCCTGAGTTTCCTTTTACATAAATCATGGACAAGCCCTTTCAGCTCACCCAGTCCAACCCTTACCCAGCCCTGCCAAGGCCACCCCTAACCCATGGCACTGAGGGTGTGTGAACACTTGCAGGGCCGGTGCCTGCAGCCCTGCCCTGGGCAGCCTGTTCCAATGCCTGAGCACCCTCTGGGGCAGGAATTGTTCCTCAGCTCCATCTAACCCTGCCCTGGTGCAGCTTGAGGCCGGTTCCTCTTGTCCCATCCCTTGTTCCTTGGGAGCAGAGCCCAGCCCCTCCTGGCTCCATCCTCCTGTCAGGCAGTTGGAGGCAGCCATCAGGTCCCCCCTGAGCCTTCTCTTCTCCAGACTGAACCCCCCAGGTCCCTCAGCCCTTCCCCATCACACTTGGGCTCCAGCCCTGCACCAGCTCCAGTGCCCTAAACGTGAGCCAGACAGCTCACCCAGTGGTCCATGAGCAACGCCTGCTCTGTTCTGAGAGCAGGACAATGCACACAGGGGAAACAATGGAACATCCCCATACAGAAGGAGCCTCTGGGCACTGATGACCCAGGGAAACTCAGCCCCATCTCTTGCCACAGCCCGTGCTGGAGGGCCACCAGCTCTTCCTCTGCTCACGACGCTGCATCTCACACACGTGGGTACTTCAGAAGTAGAGGATGCTTTGCACTGGCTGCATTTCCTCCCTGCCTGGTAAGTCAGGATGGAAAGGGTAAGATACACAACGGTGTTTTCCAACCTAGACATCAAAAAGAGTCATCCAGGAGCAAAGTGGTTCCCATTTTCCCTCAAGTTTTCCCACTGGGATGCTGAGATACCCAGGAGCCATGCATGCATTCAGCGCCAGTCTGCCCCATTCATCCCAGTCCACCAAAACCTCCCCTGCAAAGGGCTCCCCACTGAGGCCTCCAGCAGCGCCGAGAGAGGCTCGCACACACAGTGCCACCAAAATGGTGACATTTGTCAATATTTGCCCACTTTGGGCTCTCTGAAGGAGGGGCCGTGCCAGGCAGCCCATGGGGCTATAAAAGGTGTGACTGGAGGCACCCTGGGCTCACCCGGACACCGGAGCTGCCACCCCCAGCCATGAAGCTCTTCCTGTTGCTCCTCTGCTGTGAGTACCCTCCATAAAGTGAACCGGGGAGGGGGAAACCCTCTTTGGTAGGAGGGGAGGCTGCTTTCCCCCTGCTCCTAACGCCGCTGTCCCCAGTGGCAGGGCTGGCGCTTGCTGCCTGCAACGTGGTCCAGTTCGGTTCAATGATCAAGCACAAGACAGGGAAATCGCCGCTGTCCTACAACGGCTACGGCTGCTACTGCGGCCTGGGGGGATCCAGGCAGCCGCTGGATGCCACCGACAGGTGAGTCAGGACCCGGTGCTGCCTCCCTCTCCCTGCATCAGCGCAGGGAACGCGTGCCCTGCTCCCGGGAGCATCACTGCTTGTCCTCCTCAAGCGTTGCTCAGTGGCAGCACATGATGGAACGGGGCACAGCAGCGTTGCTTCTGCATCAGGCAGAGATGCTTTGGGATCCAGCTGCGGGCCATTTGTAAGCAGGGGGAAGCGTTTAGAACGCTGGTGATGCCAAAGGTGTGAGTCACCTCCCCTTGCTCCCGCAGCACGGGCCATGCAGCACGAGGAGAGCACCTAACCCAGGACAAACGGGACACGTTCCTCACGGTGCTGGTGTGAGCATGGCCGATGCTCACCACCATGGCACCATCCCAATCGCTCCCTCTCGTGCCCGCAGGTGCTGCCATGCCCACGACTGCTGCTACAAGAAGCTGGCCTCCTCTCGCTGCAGCCCCAAACTGGTCACGTACAAGTACTCCATCCAGGGAAGCAGGATAACGTGCGGTGAGAGGCGGCGCGGGGCCAAGCACGCACCTCTCCTCCGAGATGTCCTCAGGCCATTATCAAGGCCTGGAAACCAGCTGGGGAGAGGGTGGAAAGGAGGGAAAAATGCCAGGAATAGGGCAAATTACTGTTGCCTGGGAATATGGTGAGGGTTAGAGCTCAGGGACCTCCCAAAGGAGGGGCTTGCCCTTCTGTAAGGGCCAATACTGAAGGTTTGAGGCAACCCTCCCATCTCAGATGGGGACCTGGCCCTGCTGCCTCCCTTTCCCCAACGCAAACATTGTCCTTTCATGGTGAGTGCCTAAAAACAAAGCACTTCCCTGTAATCTAAGCAAGTATCTGTACATACATAGATAGATAAAGTCACCTGAACTTTATGGCCATGCATGATTTATAGCCCCACGCAGCACAGGTTGGGGGATGCCCCAAACTCAACACGGGGCTGCGTACCCCACCGGGGTGGTCCAAGAGCCATCTTCTACCTCTCCCCCCCCTTCTCCCATCCCCATCCCACCCCATTTCCTTCCAGGATCGGGGACTTGGTGTCAAAGACGGAGCTGTGAGTGCGACAGGCGGGCGGCGGAGTGCTTCCAGAGGGCAGCCAGCACATTCCGGAGCTCCTACAGGAATTACCGCAACTCCCTGTGCAAGGGCTCCACTCCATCCTGCTGAACACAGCCCAGCGGCAGCAACGGGCTCTGCTGGGGGATCAGTGCCTTCCCGGGGGCCGGGCAGAGCCCAGCTTGGGCCTGAGACACCAGAAGGGTGCCTGGTGCCTTTCCCCGGCACACACAGTGAAATCAATCATAAAAACAAGGAGATCACGGCAATAAAAGCTCATTTCCAAAGGCAGTTTGTGGAGCACGCCTGGCCTTGGGTTTGTCGTTGGGGAATTGATGGTGGAAGGGGGAGGGAAGGCAGAGGAAGCAGCACGGGGACAGCAGGGCTTTGCGGCTCATTGTCTGGGGTGAAAACTTAAGCACAATGTTCGTTCTATCTTTTCCTTATAAAACGCCTACCAGAAGTGGCATTTTGGCAGCAAATGGGTAAATCTGGAGCTTCAGAGCTGAAAACCAGGGATGGACAGAACCAGCGGGCGGCTGCTGCGCCCCAGCCACAACCCAACCACAACCCAGCTCCAAACCCAGCTCCAAACCAGCTCCAACCCAGCTCCAATCCAGCTCCAAACCTAGCTCCAATCCAGCTCCAAACCCAGCCACAACCCAACCCCAAACCAGCCCCAATCCAGCTCCAAACCAGCTCCAACCCAGCTCCAACCCAGCCACAACCCAACCCCAACCCAGCTCCAAACCCAGCTCCAACCCAGCCCCAACCCAGATCCAACTCAGCTCCAACCTAGCTCCAACCCAGCTCCAACCCAGCTCCAAACCCAGCACCAACCCAGCTCCAACCCAGCTCCAAACCAGCCCCAAACCCAGCACCAACCCAGCTCCAACCCAGCTCCAACCCAGCTCCAAACCCAGCTCCAACCCAGCCCCAACCCAGATCCAACCCAGCTCCAACCAAGCTCCAACCCAGCTCCAAACCAGCTCCAACCCAGCCCCAAACCAGCCCCAATCCATCTCCAACCCAGCTCCAACCCAGCTCCAAACCAGCCCCAAACCAGCTCCAATCCAGCTCCAACCCAGCTCCAACCCAGCTCCAACCCAGCTCCAACCAAGCCCCAACCCAGCTCCAACCCAGCTCCAAACCCAGACCCAAACCCAGCTCCAACCCAGCTCCAAACCCAGCTCCAACCCAGCTCCAACCCAGCTCCAACCCAGCTCCAAACCCAGCTCCAACCCAGCTCCAACCCAGCTCCAACCCAGCTCCAACCAAGCCCCAACCCAGCTCCAAACCAGCTCCAAACCAGCCCCAAACCAGCTCCAATCCAGCTCCAAACCCAGCTCCAAACCCAGCTGAACCCAGCTCCAACCCAGCTCAAACCCAACTCCAAACCCAGCCCCAACCCAACTCCAAACCCAGACCCAAACCCAGCCCCAAACCCATCTCCGCTCACGGCCACAACACAGCCCCAAACCAGCTCCTAAGGAGTATTTGGGTAACGAGCAGGCACTGAGGCCACAGAGGAGCAAAAAGGGGGTGTCTGTGGGGCTTGGCTTTCCCTGTGTCTCCAGCAGGTCCCCATGGAGCTGGGCAGCTCTGCCCAGGCTGGGCTCCTGGAGCCACCTCATCCTCAGCACTGCTTTATGGGATCCCCAATTGGCACCAACGAGCAGGGAGGAACCTCAGCCTTAATGCCACCTCAGAGAGGTGCTCTGCAGAGCTGGGGGTCCTCGAACAAAGGTAATTTTAGGGTGTTTTGTTTGAGTTTTACCTCTGATCCCACTGCATCACAAGCAGCATCCCTACCCCTTCCTTAACGCTTCCTATGGTAAACATGGTGTCTTTGGAACTCCAAAGCGCCCAGTTCTCCTTTTACCTCATTTTCTGGTTCCATCAAGGGCTTTGGGATGAGGAGAGAGCTCACGGCATCAACCAGGTTGGAAAAGACCTTCAAGTTCATCAACTCCAACTGTTCCCAGCACTGCAAGGCCACCACTAACCCACAGCACTGAGGCCTCGTCTACACAGTGTGAATGCTTGCAGGGACGGTGACCACAGCCCTGCCCTGGGCAGCCTGTGCCAGCACCTCAGCACCCTCACAGGGAAGAGCTTCTGCCTAAGAGCTCAGCTCAGTCTCCCCTCGGGCAGGTTCAAGCCATTCCCCTTGGCCTGTCCCTACAGGCCCTTGTCCCAAGCCCCTCTCCAGGTTTCCTGCAGCCCCTTTAGGCACTGGAGCTGCTCTCAGGTCTCCCCTTCAGGAGCCTTCTCTTCTCCAGGCTGCCCCAGCCCAGCTCTCTCAGCCTGGCTCCAGAGCAGAGCTGCTCCAGCCCTCGCAGCATCTCCATGGCCTCCAGGGAGGATGGTGCTGGGTGGGATGCAGGGAAAGCAGGTTTTTGCTGTGCTGCAGCTCACCTTCACGAGGCTGCCCATGACAGCACAGCCCCAGCAGCACTGAGCACACGCCTGGCCCTCTGCCCACCCGTGACCCTCAAAGATGTCATCCAGCAGCTGGGAAGCAGCAGCAATGCTTGAACACCCAGGGAACACGCAGTGCTGCCTGTCCTATGACCACATGTTCCAAAGCACAGCTCCACCAAAGAGTAAACACGGGCTATGAATCAGGATGTTTCTCTTCTCTTGTTCCTCGCCTCCCTTTGTCCTGCAAGGAAAAATCCAGGACCTGTTTACAAAGCCCAGAATCCCTGAGGAACATTGCATAAGTATTCCCTAGAAAAAACACGTCAAAAGGGCAGGGGGAAATTTCAGCCTCTTAAGGAAAGACAGAAACCAGACAGGATGAAAGCTTTCACATCTTTGAATAGAGAATGTGTGCAGGTACAAAGTTATCCTGGCTAAACCAAAGAGAATGGGACTGCTCTGACAAGACTGAGGAGACCACAGCTTGAAAAAACTGATTTTAATCATATTACACTTGGAAATGAAAGCATTTTCAGCCACAGATTTGGTTCCAGCTGAAGGTCAGCATCTCTCTTTGCCATTGAAGAGGTGTTGCTCTTGCAGGCTCAGCCGTTTATCCTGGGCATGGTGAGTTTTGCAGGTCCCTTCATACACTGGGAAGCTCAGCTTTCTCCCTGCTGGCTGCAGCATCACTCCCCTCATGGCTCTTCAGGCTCCAAGCAACAATAATCCTTTTATCAGCTCTGCCTCAGGAAGACAAAAAAGCAATTCATTAAGATCAAGCATCCTACAACCGCACATTCTTATCTTTTCAGACTTGCAGAACCCACCTGCAAAGCAAAACACAGCTGGGCAAGACAAAGGTGACATGCTCACCTCCATTACCTGCCTCTCCTCAGCTCCTCACCCGGTGAAGCGACTCGTGCTTTCTCCCTTCAAGCCATGACTTGTGGCTCCATTACTGTAAAAGCGACTGTCTTAGAGAATAGGAATGGCAGGAAGCAACAGTGCTAACAACAGGCTAAGGCTGGCATGAAACAGGTTTCACCTAACTCATTTTCAGTGTAAGAACAGTACTGTGAATCCAAGGCTCATCCACGCTCTTCCCACCTATGGAATACTACAGACTTCCCCCATGCCCACCACGGGCACTCAGAGCAGCATGTAACCCACTGCTTCACTTGCCAGACACTGTGTCCCACCATAAAGCAGAAGAGCTGCTTTTTATTACTTCTTATTTCCACCAAGCTCATTACAGGAGCCAAAGGAACTCCTTCACCAGCATTAAAGCCTGTTCTCCTATGCCACCAGTACTTACAGCTCCTTCCTTTCTGTTCTCCAGCTGCTCTGGATGAACAGTAGCAGAGCACATGAAGCAGTACTAGCTCAGATCTTGGCAGTTCAGCCAGAAAAGGCATTTGTATTTCTGTGCTGGTCTGGAAACTTCAGAGAATACATGGAATTTTGACAAAAGCAGCATTCCTTACTTTCAGAAAGATGTAGCTAATCTTTGCCCTGGCTGATGAGGTGTCTCCTCTTATCTGTTGTGCTTCCTTCAAGCTTAGTGTTTGACGCCAAGCCTAAAATCCAGAGTGAAGCTGAAACACCACAAGCCATAAATCAAGGGCCAAGTCCCACAGTCCTCACGCTTCAGCCCATACGCACAACCCTATAGTATAAAGTATCACAGGATTCTGGCTGTACGTTCTATGGAGCTCAGTGGACTTACCAAAGAGGAGTTGAAGATGAAAACATCATACCCTGGAAAAAGCTTGATTTATGAAGAGCGAAGTAGGCAGAGATCCCAGTGAGCACTGCTGCTTGGAACCTTGCTCCCAGACCTTTGGCTACATTAACTCCATGTGTAGACTATCAAGTTCCTGGCTTGGATTAAAGCTCTGGAGTAGCCCAAATGCTCCAGAGTATGGCAAAGGAGATGAGATTCCCGATGTCCAAGTAATAACACTCAACAGGAATCTCATGCCTGCTCATCTTGTGTTTTACAACCTCATCAGAGGTGAACTGGCTCTGTGGTCTCAGGAGTTCACTGGTATTACTGTATTACTGAGCTCATCTCCAACTGGATGCAGCAATCCCATTCTCCCTTCACATATTAATCGCTTCTCCAACAGCCTATGCAACACAAGCAGCTCTAATTAAAGTAAAACTCATCCCTGCATTCTTGCATGGGAAAGAAAAGAGGAATGTCACGGTTGACACAGCGCTGGCTGACACACTACGGTTTGGAAAGGATTCTAGAATTCTCTTTGCTTTATTTAAACAGGAGGAGAAACCAAACCCCTGAGTTGAGAATTGTTAAGCTTTCCCTGACACCAAGATTAAATAAAGCTCCTCCAAGTGTAACCCAAGTAGAAAGTTACA